ATATGAATACTCCCTCTTCTGATTGATGAACAACCTGTTTATCCGAATAAATAAACTATGGCCTCAGTCCCAATATATATGTGCAAAACTACGGTCTCGGGTCCAAGTATACGTATACATAACTACGGCCTCAGGCCCAAAGATACATAAAGCATAAATTGCGGCCTCATGCCCAAATACAGATGTCCAACATTCAGGAATTTAAAATCAGGAACTAAGAATCATATTGCAATACATGATACTAAAATGCTAAATCACACTGAGTTACATAATACTGGAATACTGAATAGGACTAGACTGAGACATGTATTCTTGAACTGATTATGAACACTGAAACTTCAACTGTTTATGACATGCTGAGTAAGCTATACTAAGACTCAAGGACATGAAACCCAAGTCTATATTGAATACGAAATGAGCTCACAACGTTTAGAATGAAGGTCATGAACGAGTTATGAAACTAGAGAATAGAAGTTCTACAACTATTCAAGGAACTAGGCTTAACTATATTTCTGAGGCGATTGATAACGTGGTAAAAGAAACATAGTGTAGGGAGAATCATTAACATTCCCAAACATAGAGAGTTAGCCTCACATACCTTAACTTCCTGATCTTGAGCGTAATACAACATTCGCCAACCGTTTCAACTTCAATCTATATCAATACAAGTCAAAGAGATTCCATATTAGCAATAACACTCATGTTTTGGTTACTTAAGCATTTTCTCAAACACTTGGTGGCATAAAGTTTCATAGTCCTTATTAGTGGTGTCTCTACACCCAATAACCCATTCTCCTGCTCCTAGATAAATTCTAAAGTCTCTAATGGTTACAATCAACATCATTCTTTATCACCCATAAGGTAAACAATACCCTTAACCAATAATCAACAATCAACAACCCAAACCTATAATCCGTTCATGCTTTTCTATCAAACCCATTAACTCATATCTCATGAACTAGAGTCCATAACCATTAATCCAATGCTAGAATCAATTAGAGGATGAAGATATTACCTTCTTGACGTTCAATCTTCTTGAATTCGAGTTCTAGGGTTTCTTCTCTCAACAATGATGTCCCAATATCTAATGATATGCAGGGTTTACCCATATTAATAAGATGTTGGGAAATTGAAATTAAATAAGAATCACCATTAGAACTTACCTTGGGTGGTGGAGGGACTCTTGAAAAGTTAGGTTTTTGAGAGCTCCCCTCTCTAGAGCAAGGTTTTTGTGTTTTGGGGGTGTGGGGGATGAAGTAGGGCTTTAAAATGACCCCCCATGAGCGCCCCCGCGCATCTATGGTCTTGACCGCGCAAAAATGGCAGTGACACTGCCTCAGGAGCGCGACCACGCTTGGGGTGCGCTCAAGGCATGCATATTGCACACTGTTCTGTAAAACGCGCATAACTTTTTGGCACAGAATCCATTTGAGCTCCATAATATATCTTTGGAAAGATATTTCAAAGGCCTACAACTTTCGTGTTTTGCGTTTTCCCAAATACCTTACAAGTTTTTCACTAAACCTCCTGCAAGACTGACTCTCTACAAACTTCGTAGATTTTATCGAATCTTGTACACCCCACTCTTCGTCTTGATTCTAAAATAACTATTTCCATCCATAATCATACCAATAGAACTTCATATGTCCAAAATATAACCTTACTACTCATTTAAAACATTCATACCTAAGTCGAATTTACGGGGTGTTACAGGTTGGGTCACAACCCTAGCTAATGGGTTTAGCTACTCATAATCAAATAAGAAATCGAAGATGGAGATGAAATATAAGCCATAAAAAATAATTACAAGAGTAAAATCTAATATTAATTGCTAAAGATGTTCTAAAATTACTCTAAAAAGATAAAAATAGCAGTTCACGTGCTCTACAAAACAACTGATACCCTAAAAATCTAAAAAAGAACTATTTATACAAAGCTAAATTTTTCGGATAAAATTGCCCCTACGGAGATTCCGTTGACAACGGAAAATAGGTCGCCTCAACGCTATGACTACCGCGGCTGTGCAAAATCAAGCTCGGACCACGATTCTTCTCTTTTTAGCTAGTTCTGAACTTGAGTCCGCTGGGAGCGGAAAAACACCCGCCTCAGCGCTCCTTCAACCGCGGCTGCAAAATATGATCGTGGGCAGCGGTGACTGTTAAGCTTCAGAAACACTCTCTGAATCCTCAAACCGCAGAGAGCGGCATCAGGACCGCCTCAGCGGTAGAACCCTCGCGTCCGCTGCTATTTCTCTCTGTCAGCGCCCTTTGATATCAACTTTGAACTTGTGCAGGTTTCACTCCTTTTTGAGTTGGTTATGACTTCCTTGTCTCTTTTTGACCAAACACTGCAAACAAGCACACTAAGTTAACTTTTGGGAATATTTGCACGTATTTTTAATCCAAAACCTAAGCAAAAAAGGAGCATAGAATAGGCTAGAATCCCTAGTTATCACCATCCTCTTATACTCCATTTGTCCAGCCCCTGCCGCCCTTCAACCAGAATCCATCTTAGAAAGGAGGTTAGTCAAACATGGTAATAAAGTTGTTTTCCAAGTTAAGGTCAAATGGGGATGGCTTAATGCTGGTCATGCCACTTGGGAGTATCTTCAAGAGCTACAGACAAGGTTTCCCTCTTTCAATCCTTGAGGACAAGAATTTCCTTTAGGGAAGGGTATTGATACAAGTAAAGGAGATAAGCAACCAAGGAGAGGAAATCAAGCAATTAAAGAGAAGAAATCGAGTTAAGAACTAAAATGCAGTAACAATGAAGCTTAGTTGGCGACTGACGTGGCAACAATTAGTTATGTTACTTACAGTCGGTTAGAGTTAGTTACAAATTGTTAGCTAATACTCTATCCGTTTCAATTTATGTGAACCTATTTTCTTTTTGGTTAGTTCCAAAAAGAATGACCCCTTTCTAAATTTGAAAATAATTTAGTTTAAACTTACAATTATACCCTTATTGAGAAGCTTTTATAACCACATAAAAATTCTTGACCCCTTTTTGACTTATTTAAGACCACAAATTTCAAAAGTCTTCATTTTTTCTTAAACTTCGTACCTAGTCAAACACATGTTCACATAAATTAAAACGGAGGTAGTAACAATCTTCTAGAATCTTCAACCGAGCATATATAGTTGATATACATGTAATTGATGAATCACTTTTGAAGATAATACATTTCTATTCTTTCTAAATTTCTCTTCTCATTGAGCTATTTTCTCGATAAATCTTGATATAGCCATCACCTTCTTCGAGCTTGAGCTCCTAGATTGACTATTCTCGTTAGTTTCTATTGCATTGCATCATTGAACAAGTATTCCATAACAAAATATTGGGCTTTTCTTCTATCCAACTAAAATGGGCCGAACAAATCAAAAAAATAATAAACAATGGTCCTTTATGTTTGAGGTACGCTTACAACTTGTTTGGATTGTGGTTATATATTGTTTCACAACGTATCATATTGTATTGTTTAATAAATACAACGTTTGAAAATATTGTATTGTTTGATATCATTTCATGATGTCACGCACTAACAATATGAAGAATAAACTTGCAATATTACTAAGAAAAGATAGGATACGAAATAGAATTATTATATAAAAAAGTAGGATAAATGATAAAATATGATTATGTAATAATAAAGAAGGGCATGATGAGAGAAAATAGTAAGGAAACGACGTCACCACACCAAATCTGTCGTTCCATTGAGTGACACTTTTTGTCATTACGTAACGATGGATTTAACAATACGATACAATAAATTTTAAGTAACAATAAAAACAAATATTGTATTTAAAGTAACAATACGATACAATACAATATGTGTCAACCCATCCAAACAAGCTGTTAGAGTACTACCTTAGGTATGCAACAACAACAATAGAGTCAGTTTAGTACTATAAGTAGGGTATGGAGAGGGTAGTGTTTACATAGATCTTACCCCTACCTAGTAACGGTAAAAATACTATTTTTGGTAGACCCTCGGCTCAAAATAAGGTAAAGAAAATAAAGGAAGAAGAAGAAGGAAGAGGAGGAGGAGGTGGAGGTGGAGGTGGAGGTGGAGGTGGATAGAAGAAGAAAGAGAGTAAAAAGAAGAATTAGACTTCAATAGTAACAACAAGAAAGTAAGATAACTGAAACGAACAAAACAACATGGCATAAATAAAGCTCTAAGTGTATGTACTAAACAGTTTTTTTGGTCTCGGATTTAGTAATTTTTTCATTATTTAATTTGACAAAAAATATGAAAAATAAGATTCAATCTTAAACACCAAAAAAATCTCGGAGAAAGTCCTTCGAAGGAAGAAGCTTCCGACCTGTCCTCGATCTCTTTCTCGATGGGGAAAATAGCTAAAAGGTAAGAAGGAAGTCTAACTAATGTACTGATCCACGCAGGCTGCCCGGAGAATCCTACACTGCTAAGGAAGAGGGTCGAGCCATAACGGATTGATGTGGCGTAGAACGTGAACAAATGCTTTCTCATTAGACTATTTTAACCGATAGTTTATGTCGACCCTACGCTACGATTCTTCTTCTCTTATGAATTTCTAGTTATATCGAATCCTATAAAATACCAAACAAAAACTATACTAAATACCCCAAAAGCTAAAAGTATACCTCAAAAAACTACACCAAACTCTAAAAATTGGTCTAAAATAGTAGAAATTACAAAAATTGTGCCTTTAAATAGTTCTGGCTTATTTACACTCCCCTCTCCGCCCCCCTCACCCCATAGTTTTCATCAAAACTAACAAATAAAGTTTGTTAAGTATTTGATGAAGTTGGAAAACTTAAAGGATCAAAATTGGTTAGTGCATATTTAAGAGACTACTTTTAACTTACTCTCAAACACAAGGGACTATTTATATCATTTTATCTTAATTTCTTCTTACCTCACCAATGTACATATATTACTGCACTATGTACAAACAATTACAACGCATACCTCTCTGGAATATAAATTTCATACAATATAGTAACTTATTTCTTTTCCTCAAATCTGTTCTTTCCTCATCCAACTCAATTTCGTAACGCCACTTTCTCCTAAGTTTTGACCTCACCACACTCCAAATTTCCTCCAAATTCCCAATCATTGGCACCCAAAATCCAATAAATTGACAATCTTTTCTTCAAATCTCACTACCCCAGATCAAATTTTCAATCCCAACAACCCCAAAAATCTCTCAAAAATAGCCAAAAAAATTTGCCAATTCTATATATTCGTACCATGTAAAATCCTAAATCCCATAAAGCCCGAATCTTTTCTCCAAATCTCAAAACCCCAGATAAAACTATCATTCTTAAAACCATCAAACTTGTCAAAAACAGCCAAAAAATTGCCAGTTTTGCCAAGTTTTAGCTCTTTTATACCATGTGTCATGAATCAAAAATATAATCTTTGATGCCTAAAAAAACCCAATTTAGTAAAAGTTCGTCTGATTCAGATTCTCCAAGAAAAAATCTTGGTTCTTTAGTTTCTTCAGAACCAGAACCAGGACCAAGCAGTAACAAAAAATCTTCTGTTTGGTCTGGTTTTTTGGTTTCTCCTTTTTCAATCTTTGATACTGAGCCAAAAGGGTGTTTAAAAAAAGGTGACTTAAGTTCAAAGAAGTATTATAATGGTATTGGTATTAATTGGACTAGTGCTGTGAAAAGAATGATGAATAGTGGCTCAATGAGGAGGATTTTTGGGATTAATAAAACTGGGATTCCTAATGGCTCTAAAAGTGATATTTGGCTTTTAGGTGTTTGTTATAAAGTTGTTCAAGATGATGATCCATCCATTGAACCAACTCAAAGTGAAGGTTTTTCTGCTTTTGTTGATGATTTCTCATCTAGGATTCTTGTTACATATCGAAAAGGTAGTTAAAGTTTTAATCTTTTTTTTATTCTTATTTTGTTTGATCTGATTAGAATTTTGATTTGGTGTGATAGTGAATTTTGGTTATTTGGTTGAATGTAATTACAGGGTTTCCTCCTATTGGAGATTCTAAGTATACCAGTGATGTTAATTGGGGTTGCATGCTTAGGAGCAGTCAGATGCTTGTTGCTCAGGTTTATTACCTGGCAAAATTCCTTTTCTTTCTTGCTATAAGTTAGCTAAAATCTTTATAATCTTGCTTTGGCGCAATGGTAAAAGTTGCTGCCGTGTGACCATGAGGTCACGAGTTCAATTCGCGGAAACAGCCTCCTGCAAAAGCAAGGCAGCGTAGCCGTACATAAGACCCGGTGTGGTGACCCTTTCGCCGTACATAACAGGAGCTTACGCACTAGGCTGCCCTTTTCGAAGGGGAGCCTTGAAGCAACGGTAAAGTTATCTCCGTGACCTATAGGTCATGGATTCGAGCCGTGGTATCAACCACTAAAGTTTGTGTATCACACCCGTTGAGGTGTGGCCCTTCCACGGACCTTGCGGAACGTGGGATGCTTCATGCACCGGCTGCCTTTTTTATCTTTCGTTTTTTTCTTCTTCCGAGTTTCCAATGCTTACTCTGTCTGCTGTAGTGATGTTGATGATTCCTGTATTTATAGGCTCTACTTCTTCATCGATTAGGAAGATCTTGGAGAAAATCTTTGGACAAGGTACTCGAAAGTCAAAACACTGCAGTACTTTCAGTTGTTAAAATGCTCAATTTCCAATTTAAAACCACGATATTGCACAGTCAGGTTCTCATCTCGTATCTCTTATATATAAGAAAAAAGACAAGAAAAAGATCAGATTCTCATCTCATACATATATTGTTTTAGCTTGAGAACTTATCATGTTATCTCATCGTGCAGCCGCATGACCAAAAGTATGTTGAGATATTGCACCTTTTTGGTGATTCAGAGGAGTCAGCTTGCTCTATCCACAATCTCCTTCAAGCCGGGAAGACATATGGTCTTTCTCCTGGATCATGGGTGGGCCCATATGCAATGTGTCGCACTTGGGAAACATTAGCACGAAGCAAGAGAGAAGAAATGGGGAATGCTGACATGTCTTCTCTCATGTCTATCTATGTTGTATCTGGGGATGAAGATGGCGAAAGAGGCGGAGCGCCGGTGCTCTGTGTTGAGGACATTGTCAGGCATTGTTCTGACTTGTCAAAAGGCGAAGCTGACTGGATACCTGTTCTTTTCTTAGTTCCGTTGGTTCTTGGACTTGACAAAATCAATTCAAGGTTTCCTTTCATTTCTCTTATTTTTATTTATCTGCACTGGTAGTGTTGTATGATGCAAAACTCTTGCCTATTTATTCTCTAGCATATCTCTCTGCATTACCGTCATAAATAACTTAAGAACTTGCCAAGTAAAAGAAGATTGTGGCTGAATGATTATTTGTTTGTGTCGTAAAACAAGTGGTGCTTTGTTGGGGATCTGTAAGCACTTTAGTGCTATCATTACTATTTCATTGCCAGTTTTGCTTTATTATGATGAAATTGTATGCAAAGAAATTAAGATTGTCATTCCTTATCCAATCAGCAACAGTTTGATTATTCGAAACTGTTGCAGAGTTACATGATACTTTGTGGCTATAGCGACTATTTGGCAGGCCTTATAAAGGGAAAGTGGATATGGAATTAATATGGTACAGTGCTAGAAAAGATCTTTAAAGAATCTTCCATAGAATTAAGTGTCTAAAGTATTTCATTATTTTACCGAATGAAGAGCCACTCATACCATTTAGGATTTGGATTTCATTAACCTTGGACGACGAGTTTTTAGCATTTGTTGCAAAAGACCTGTCTTGGGGGGAATCAGGCATCTTCTTTTCTAGGCCAGAAGACTTTTCTTGGGGAATCCAGCATCTTCTTTAAGAGGAGCCATGGTAGATACCTTGATTAGTAGTGTAAAAAAAAAATCAGTAAGCACTAACATAAGGAACACAAATGAAAATAATAACAAAAAAAAATAAATTTCTGGATCATGCTTCGTATTCTCAACAGCAAGACTAATAAAAATATCACAAATCGCCCCCCAGGGCCTAGCTCAAGTGGCAAAGGGTGGTGGATTTGTGTCTTAGGTCACAGGTTCAAGCCCCCACACCATGCAAAGCAAAGCCTGGTATTTAAGTGGAGAAGGGTAGAGGGGCCGGCCCATTATCCACCGAGTTTCGAAGGCTGCGGTTGGTCCAAAGAATCGGCCCCAGACGGATTTCTCGGTCATCAAAAAAAATAAAAAAAATTAAAAATACCACAAACTCTTTTGCACACTATCTAATCACATGGCTTGATCTAACTATTATTTCAATGGAACAAGTGCGGATACAAGATGATCACAATGGTCGCAATATCGTATGTGATTCAAGGTCTCATACTAATGTTTCCTGCCATGCGACACTTTCGGGTTGTCCTCTTCAAGTAAGAACATGAAATAGAAGGACGGCGCTACCATATATAATCATTCCTTCTCTTGCGCTATAATCTAGCTGAAAGATACTTGTAATTAACAGATTAATGACAGCTTGAGAAATTCCATATTCTAAGTTACTATAAATCATGGTTTGCTTCACAAAGTATAGCCAGTCCCAAGTCCAGAAAACTAAGAAGAGTTGCGATAGGTTGATGAGTCCTCTTCAGTGTATAAAGTGGAATGCGCACTAGTGACTCATAAGTTGACTCTAACTAATTTGAGATGAGGCTTAGATACTCGATTGATGTTTGATTAGCCATGATGTCTTCTTTTCCTAATGGTATATTTATGATCTTTCTTATATTATCATAGCTCAAAGATTTCCTGGTTACTGGCCTATACACTCATTTAATTGAATTTACGTTGTTAGTTGTAGAACATTCGACGTTTATGCTTATCACCATAGATAAGGTGATGAGAATTCCATTAATTAGTAGGGCATATATATTTAAAAAATTGACTTAGCGAACAAGGCGTTCAAACTTGTTTCTGTGATCCTAAACGACAATATTCATAATACTACTCAATTCAGGAAAGTATAGTTAGCAGCTAGATTTACTTGCAGAAGTAAGTTGTCATCTGGTGGTTTAAGAAGTATCATTTGCAAAATTGAACATGGAATATAGATTGGTCTTTGATGTCCGTACGCACACAAAACACGTTATGACTATCTCGTGTTTTCCTTATCTCCATGTTGATTTATGACACGTCAGGCACGACGAGAAGGCCATATCTAACGAAAATTAAAATTGTGGACTGCATTGATATTGGACGGATGATTTACTGTTTCTACTATAAAAACCAGATCATTCTGTTTACTGAACTTCTATTATGTTCTTGTACGTTAGGTATCTTCCTTTACTGGCAGCTACATTCAGTTTTCCTCAAAGCCTTGGGATCCTAGGTGGCAGACCTGGAGCCTCGACCTACATTGTCGGCGTGCAGGATGATCAAGCCTTTTATCTTGATCCACATGAAGTTCAGCCAGTAATTGTTTCTTTCCTTTTTATCGTATTTATGCCATTTCACACATACTGATTGGAATTTCTATAATTTATTACTACTTACAATCTAGGGTTAATTGCCGATCCTTAAAATCAAACTTTCCATGTTTAAATGTTATAGATGGAAATCAGCGTCTTTCCTTGCTGGCTGACTTCAACAATCTATCAATAATTACCACCATCAAGAATGTCATAATTGTTTGGTCTTTGTTACCTTTTTTATGCTTATTAAGATTTGAAGTTTTTTTCATTTGATTCATTAGTGTGGAGAAAATTGGTGGATTTTATGTAGTACCGCGATCTGGTTTTTATAGGTCGGCTTTTGCCCGGAATCCGTCGTTTTTATATTAGGAAAGATGTCATCCAATATATTCGAAAGCAGCAGCACTCAGTATGGGATGGTATAAGAAGCACCCAAATGAAAGAAAAAAAAAATCATTTGGCTTTTAAAGTTTGATTTAAGAGCTCTTATTGTTTGCTGAAAGTTTCCTACTTAGAAAAAGCTTCTATGCGGATCTAGTAGAATATTCTCTAACAGATCCTTGCTGCTTTAGAGGACTTTCTTAGAATCTTCTACAGGCTAAAATATTAGCCTTATTGCTGGAGCGGGAGTGCTGCTATATAACAAACAATCACCAAATTACACCTTTCCGTCCTCCACGTCCTAATTTCTTGACATCATGGTTTTTTCTCAATGTTCCATTTTCTGCTGCCTCAACATTCCGCATTAACCAAGATCCGTAATTGATTATCGTCATCTGAAATGCTAGTGCGGTTGATTAATCGTCATCAGCGATGGCTGTGAACAGCTCTGCTAGTCAAGTTCCCCTTTTGGAGAACCTTCTATGTAATTTCATAATTTTCGGTTTGGGACATTATTTTTGGTGGATTTCTAAAATGTTCCAGCATATTCATTTCAGTGGTTTTGATCCATCAGACTCCTCTAGTTTCACTTTCCGGCAACACCAAAAGTGCAAATCAAACAAATTATTTGGTCCCTGTATGAGCTTTTCCATTTAGTTTCTTCTTTTTTTTTGCGGCGAGTGGGACGGGTAAGGAATCACATCTCTAATAAACGAGTATTTCTTGATTGGTCGTTCAGCTTTCCTACCTTTTTTACTTATTATAACTGTCTTTATGGTGCTTGTAATCTCATTTGTCCGGTGATTTTAATATTTGAAGTTTTATGGATTTATCTGTCTGATGAGCAGGTTGTTGATACCATAACGGATAATCTGGACTTTAATATTTCATCTTATCACTGAAAGTTTCAAAATTTGAAGTATTTTTGGTTATCTAATTTTACTGGATGTCGGATGTAATGTTCTCATTATATGTCTGATGCGCAGGTTGTTGATATTAAAACGGATAAGTTAGATATTGATACTTCATCTTATCACTGCAAGTAAGCGAATACGCATTCTAGTTTCTCACCTGATATTTTCGTTTTTAGTTTTAATCACCTTATAACCTTTTGACTTCGATTGCAGTACTGTAAGGCATTTCCCTCTGGATTCAATTGATCCATCTTTGGCAATCGGATTTTATTGTAGAGATAAAAGTACGTCCGCTTGTTTCTCTAATTGTTCCAGAAATTGTTGCATTTGTTTTACCATGGCTAATACGAGTTGCTTCTTGACCCCTAACTTCTATATACTTTCTGTAGGTGATTTTGATGATTTCTGTATACGGGCATCTAAGTTGGTGGATCAATCAAACGGTGCTCCATTGTTTACGATAACTGAAACTCGTAGCCCAGCCACATCAGTTGAGTATAACGACAGGGTGACTAGTAATTCTGGGGTTCCAGAACTGGACTCCTTCGATGCTGTGGGCCCGGGTGAGTCGGATGGTAGTAGACCTGAAGATGAGTGGCAACTCCTTTGATGTAAGAACACTTTCAGGATTATAAAGTTGTAAATAATTTCGTAGGCGGTCTACTTGATTGCGCCGGTGGCCTTAATGTGTTCCATCTTGTTTGGTGCGCGATTTCGACTAAATTACTGCTGTAAGATAGACATACTTGTAGGATCCTCCTTTTGCCTTACAATTTGATGTTGTCTATAAATTATCCAAAAATGGGATGGTGTATGGTTCAATTCATTTTTTTTCTAAGTACAAATGCAGAAGATTGAATAGTTGTTCCCCTAATCTTCCATTTTGTGTTGCTATTTTTTATTTTCTGGTCTTATTATTGGGTGTTATTCTTACCTTTCTCTATCCTGGATTAGGGGCTTGCTTAGTTTGGTTTAGTTCACTTGGTTATTGTTGAAAATGGAAGTTGTTCATTAGTTTACATGTAAGTTAGAGGTAGGTACATAAGCAAGTCTTTCTTCAATTAGATTTTTGCTTTATATGTTTACCTCTTATTCATGGTTTCTAAATTTGAGAAATAAATCTTGGTAAAGCTTCAACCTATCAAAAAAGAAAGAAAAAATCTTGGTACCATCAAATATATATATATATATATATATATATATAGGTATTAAAGGGCAACCCGGTGCACTAAGTTTCCGTTATGCGTGGGGTTCGGGAAAGGACTAGACCACAAGGGTGTATTGGACCATAAGGGTATATCGTACGTATCCTTACCCTGCAAGAGATTGTTTCCGCGATTCGAGCCCGTAACCTCCTGATCACAGGTCAACAACTTTACCAGTTTGCTTTAGTATCCAATACGACTCAACTAATTTGCATTTACGCCACCAAATCTATAGAGGGATTAAAGTGCATCTCTATCGAGAGGTTTTCTTCTTTTAGAGCTTGAACCGAGATATATCATTTTTTTCTCTCAATGAACCTTGACAAATCTTTATATTATTCATATTATTATGATTACATGTATTGCTTTGAGATCGAAACTAGCCCCGAGTTGCCCCTTTTGCTCTAGGCATCTGATACTCGAAATTTACTGACTCAACTAATTTGCATTTACGCCAGCAAGTCCATAGAGGGATTAAAGTGCCTCTCTATCGAGGGGTTTTCTCTTTTCAGAGCTTGAGCCCGAGACATCTGATTTTCTTCTCAGTGAACCTTGACAGATCTTTATTATTCATATTATTATGAGTACATGTATTGCTTTGAGATTGAAACTAGTAGATATTTTTACAATTTGTACATTTAACAATCAATTACGTCTATTTTATCATAATCAATATCTTTGCTAATTGGGATTGGATTAATGTAAACTCCAAAGCTTTCAAGTTGACCATTAAAAATTGTGCCATGAAATCCATTGAGCCAGTTTCCAACATTTATGTTGAATTCTGTATCTTCACTTCCCATATAAGTAGGTCTATTTTTTGGAAAAGGTCCATATGAGTTTTTGTTGGTCACAAATGTGATTGATTTCAATACTTTATCTGTTCCAATTACTCCATGCCTACCATTTACTCCAATTAGATATTCAGATGGATAATCTAGCTTGATCTGCAAATTTTTTGAAAAAAATTATTAAAGATAAGAAATATTGTCATGACAGATAAACGAGACTAGACGTGTTACCGTAGGGCAACCCGGTGCACTATGCTCCTGCTATGCGCAGGAAACGGGAAAGGGTCGACCACAAGGGTCTATTGTATGCAGCCTTACCTTGCATTTTTGCAAGAGGCTATCTCCACGGTTTGAACCCGTGACCTCCTGGTCACATGGCAACAACTTTACCAGTTATGCCAATGCTTCCTTTCACTAGACGTGTTACTGTAATAAAATAAAATTATCTTTCTTCTCTCGAGAATCGAGACAATAACAATTATACCTTAATCTCAAACAAATCTGGATCTCTTATATAAATCCTCATTGATCATGTCGCTTCCTTACTGTGAGAAGTAGAATTATGTATCTTTTATGCTGAATCTCCTAATTTTTCTAGAACTTGATTCGTTAACCAAAATGAATTTGATTAATAAGTTGTGTACCTATTTAGGACTTTTTACGATCCAATCATAGATAATGAAATCATAAAATACAATAGTCCGATTTTTTTAGTGTCAATTTAAATTTAATATAGATGGCGATATGTGATTGTGGATAGTAGAGATTTTAATAGATGTTGAAATTCACGGGGGTATTATTAACAATAATACAATATATTCTTTAAATGTACACTAAAAAATGTCTAGCTATGCCTTCGACATCATAATTGTTGTTATTTATTAATAGTGATTATCCAGTTTACAATTATATACAATCAAAACTCTCTATAACGATTTCGTTTTTCTAAAAAAAATTGATGTTATAGTGAAGTGATGTTATAAAAATATATATTATAACATAACATGAAAAATTAGTTTCAAAGAAAATTTAACCGTTATAGTAAAGTATTGTTATATAAGATAACTGTTATATAGAAGTCTGACCGTCTTGCTCTAACAATTCATTAATAAAATTTAAAAAAAAAATGGAACTTACTATTTCCAGATGTTCGATAAGATCACCATGTTTGCCTGATAAAGAAAAGTTTCCATCTTTGAAATATAAAAATTGGAGATGACTAATTATTCTTCCAAAGGAAACGAAAATCATTGCAATATCACCTTGATCAACATCATCCCATTTTTCTCCTTTTAATTTACTACTTGCCACAATTTCAATTTTGAATGCCATATTATATATATGACTTTTACAATAATAATTTACTGAAGAAAAAAATATTATTGGACAAAAGAAAAGAAAAATTGGAAGAAAGAGTTTGTGAATGTTTTAGGTTTACCAAAACCTTATTATATATATATACTATTTTTTCTGCATCCATTTATGCCTTTCTTGAATCTGAATTTGAGATTTGGAATTTTTAGGTGTAGAATAATGTACAATTTTTATTACTTAATATTCTTTTCTTGTTGTTGAGATACATAATATTGACCCCTTATTATGCAATTACTTTTATGTTTCTAATTCAGAATAAACTACAAAGCTTCTTTTAGCATTACTCGCTCCATCCTAAAATACTTGTCACGTCTAGCTTTTCGAGATTCAAATAATATAAACTTTGATCAATATTTTAATATATATATTTTTATCATAATAATATGAGAAAAATTGCAAATTATAATACTTTTTATATAGTTTTTGAATATCTAAATTTTAATTTTATAATATTAAGTTAATCTATCTAATTTAAATATTTTTGTATTTTTCATTACAGTAGTTGTCTATACAAGATTAGAGGAGCAAAGGGCTCAAAATAGAAAAGAGAATATACAAATTAGAATTCTTGATTGATAGGAAATCAGGATCACAATAAAAACAATAAATACAAAATATTGCAATATCTTTGGTATAATAGCCGGTGATTAGCATTGCTACCTTTATTTCTTTCTTTCTCTTCCTTGTTTAAGTGATTTTTAGTAGGCGTTTGGACATAAAAATTATAATTTTTAAATTATGTTTGGACATGCATTTCACTTGAAAAAAATATCGTAATTTTGTGAGGGAAAAAACAAAAATGTTGAAAATTTTGAAAAAGTGGTTTGGAAAACTCATTTTGAAAAATTTCCAAAAACTTGAAAATTTTCATGGACAAACATATTTTTGAAAAAAAATAAATTAAATTTGTTTTATTGACAGACGGGTCCTCATTTACTTTTTGTCCCTTTTTCCAGCTTAGTTTTCCTTTTTCTATTGCCGAGGAAAGTGGGTATTTCAAATTTGAAATGTGACATTTAAAATTTGAAAAGTTCCCAAAAGTCATCTTTCCCAAAGTTCCCAAAAAAAAAAAAAAACTTTTTTACAATATCAATACATATATACGTTATATTAACAATATAAATACACAAGGTTCTTTGAACATATGTTTTATCTTTTCCTTCCACAAACAATATTTTCTACCACTAATTAAACACAAAAAATCGTAATCATGATTAAGGTTTGTCCATTTATTGGATTAAATGGTGAAATATGGGATGATAAGGAAGATAAAGTAGTCAAGATTTTTATATCTCATGGTAGAAGAGTGAATTTCATTCAGTTTTTATACATAAAAAATGGATTCTTTGTCTTGTCCAATAAACATGGTGGTGATGGAGGCTTAAGATTTGATACAGTGAGTTATAAATTTACTACTAGTATTACTTTCTGTTCTCAGATTTTGTTTTCTTATTTCAAATTTCAAATATTTTGAAAAAGAAATACACAACTTTTGAAATTTTTCCTTCATTATTATTATTATTATTATATTATATTTTTTATTTTTTTGCTGAGAAGAAAATTTTGTACTTTGTAACTCATGTTTTTAGGGCCTACAGATTGACGTTTGGATAATTTTAGGAAAAAATTTGGGGTATTATTACTTTTAGCATGTGTAAAAATCTATTTATATTTGGTAGTTGAAAAAGTGTATAAAATTTGTATAATTTTTGTATACAAAATATAGAATATATATATATATATATATATATAAAATATAGAAACATTATTTTTTTTCCCGGATATTATTTTGACAACGGCTATACAGTGTCATTTTCCAAAAAATAAATTTCTGAGAAAAAAAACAATCTTCTAGAAGTTTTGCTTTGTTCTTGAAATAATTTTTTTTTTGGTCCAAACAGCTTAAGCAAAATAGATTCTGAAAAGGTTCGTAGAAAAATAGTGTGAAAGTGCAATGTTTTGGCTATTTTCGTAAAAAATTGGTTTAGTTTTTTGAATTTAAGTCTCTCCTAAAAAAAATTAAAGTTTTCATCTATTTGAAAGTTTCTTAAATCCAAACGGGTAAGTTAGGGAAAAGCAAAAATCAAGAATTTTTTTTTCATGTATGTATAGCTGACCTGATTGTATAAATATTTTTATGCCGTTAATGTATAGAACTTAAACNTGCTCTTGGGTTGACTCAAACTCACAACCTCTTGGTTGAAAGTGGAGGGTTCTCACCACTAGAGCAACCCACTCTTGTTAAGAAAAAATGGCACCACATGACATAAATTGTATGTTGGTTATGTGCTTGATTTTGCTCTAAGAGGTCAAGGGTTCAAACCTCAACTAAAGGTTTTTTTTTTTTTTTTTTTTTTTTTTTTTTTTTGCAGATTAAACTTGATTATCCCTCAGAGTTTATCACTTGGATACGTGGTTACTATGTGGAATTTCATCCTACAGTAATTCAACCTGCTAATTATGTGACATCAATCACATTTGGTACAAATAAAGCTACTTATGGACCTTTTGGAACCCATGAAAGTTCTGATACTGAGTTTGATTTTCAGTTTGGAACAGATGGAGCTTTTGGTGGATTTCATGGCACAACTCATATTCATTATCTTGAAAGTATCGGTGTTTATATCAAACCAATTACTTGTTCTACAACAGTAGAGAACAGGGAAGCAAATAACAGTGATGTTTCATGAATTTATGAAATTCGAATTTAGTGAAAATTGAGTAGTAGCTCACTGACAAGGTCGTTGATTGATATCTTATCGGGGTTTTGGATTTTCACTAGATCATTATGTTTTCTTTTATCTTTCTCTTAGACGTTCCTCTGCCTTAAAAGGAGACATGGATGTCAAGAATTAGGGTAGAAGGTAGTCGAGCGGTTTCTCTCTCTTCTGTGATGGAGTATGGTTCTAATTTATAGCATGTTATGTGCTCCCCCTTCTCCGTATCAATGCTATTATTATTCTAGTATTTTCTTATTCATCAATTTTTGTACTAATGTTGTTTCTTATATTCTTTTATTTTCTTCTTAGCTTTTTTTTTTTCTCTTGTATTTTTCAAACCTATTTGGAAACGCTTTTTTTTTTTTTGTGCCAAGGTATGCGTGTGGGATCATATACTGTGTATGTAGTTATTGTTGACAAATATGTTTATGTTTTTGCACATATTTATTTAACTAGGACCAAGGGATAGCAAATATGCATTTCACTGTTTTTGCTAAACATATCTCCAAAATGAATGAATGCTTTGATTACATTTCATGCAATTCCATATACTTAAGTATCACATCGACTTTAAATGGGGAGTTTGGGGTAAAAAGTCTAACACTGGGCTGCTCCAAACTTTTCTAAAAGTACTTTAAAAATGAAGTAAAAAAAGGAGGTAACTCTGGTAGCTTCTCTGCCTTCTCTTTGATTTTCTTCATCTTCACAGCATTTGTTGTATACTCGTCTGTCACAAAATTCACTGCAATGCAAAAGGGGAAAAAATAACTTAAGATGACCACGGCAAAAGGCTCGCTCCCCCCATAGGTTCAATCATCTTGACAATTTAAAAAAATTTAAAAAAAAATTTAAAAAAAAATCATCTTGACAGTTTAAAAAAAAAAAATTTTAAAAAAAGCTGTAATGCAATGCTTTAAAATGTTACTCGATGCTTTTTTCTCTTTTTATTTTCCTTGCTGGGAAAGTGCAGGAAATGCCCTAATCAAGAATGATTGAAGGTCCATTAGTAATTAATTAATTGAGTCGTTAAGTAAATCGAGCTCAATCATAATCACTGCAAGACAAGCTTCACGAGTTGAGAACGAGGCTTGAAACCACTATACATATTAGAAGACTAACTCTACGATGGAATGCTTGGAAATTGAATACAGGCCACAGGGTAATTCAATGAATGTAAAAGACAATTCACTTGGATCACGAATTTGTATCCCGATCAGAGCTGTAAAACAAACTTTAAACTTGCTTCTTGATGGGCAAAGTAAATATAATCGTCCGTAGAATCAGGAAAAGGCTTAGGACAAAAGGACTAGAAAATTCACGCAAGAATACTTACTTTACGAGTAGGGGTTACTTGCATCGATCCTTGATGGAAATTTACAAAGTATTCAACGGTGGCATGAGTGAACTACGCCATAAGTACCGCCATCTACGTGAGAGGACACTTGTTCTTGCAGCATCTTTTAGGGGTAACCAACAAAGAATCTGAATGAGCGCGTCATCATCCAACTTACTGATAGATTCACCTTCTGAATAGATTTTTTCTTCATGAACTGAAACAATAATAGATGAATCATTTAGGGGTAAACAATAAAGGATCTGAACGAGCGTTTTACCATCCAACTTATTGACAGATTCACCTTCTACATTTATCTCTTTTCCAAAAATTGAAACAGTAGTAGATGACATTGCCGTTCCCTTTGTCATCTTTGGGGATTCTGAGAAGCAACACAACAGGTGTGACTTCGGTTAACCTAAGGCAAAATCAACAATAGACTCAGACTTAGCTCAAGCAGATATGAAGCTAACAGTAAATGGAAAGAGGTTTCGATGCAAGTAGAAGGAAAGGTGTGCTAATCAAGTATCAGATTCTTTTTCTTTCTTTTTTTTTCTTTTTTGATAACCAAAAAGCCCCTGAGGGCCAATGGTGCACAATCCGAAACTCGGTGGATAATGAGCCCACCCCTCTATCCTTCACCACTTAAATACTCGACTTTAGTCTGCAGCAGGGCTCGAATCCGTAACATGCGCCTAACCCACCCATCACTAGTTGCTCTTACAACTAAACTTGTTTTTTTTCCTTCTATTTTGGTTAGGTCAATTTCAAGAATTTTATCACCATCTTGAGTTAAAGATACAAAAAGATCAGAGCAATTCAAGTTCCCATTAAACTTCAAGAAGGGAAACTACTTCTCCCTCCCAATAGTAATACAATAACAACAACAATCCGGCAAAAACCCACTACTGGGGTCTGGGAGGGTAGTGTGTACGCAGACCTTACCCCTACCCCGAAGGAGTAAAGAGGCTGTTTCCGAAAGATCTTCGGCTCAAGAAAAAGGAGACAATATTAGTATCAGCAAAGAAATCATATGAAAAACAGGAACAACATAAAATTCAGAAGAAAGATGCAAAGCAAAAGCGATAGCTAGTAAATAGGTCATGCGCTGAAAAGTGAAATAGAAACCCTACCAGACTGGTCTCGCAATACTGGGAGTTAAATCTTCTAATATCAAGTGTATCACTTCTTCATAATAAAAAATAATTATTATTAAGTTCAAACATGTTTCATTTCTCTGCCTAAAATTTTAACTCGAAATTTAGCTCAAGTACATAGCAAAAATTGTAATGCATATAACCAGGTCACCCAAAAAATTGATTCTATACAAAATCAATTGTTTATTCTTCTTATCCATATACATTTATTAATGAATCAAAACACAAAACATTTTTTGTTCCACAAGAATCTTAATATCAATACTCCCAAAACCAAATCGAAACACTCACCAAGAAAATCCCCAAAACAGAATAAACCCAGAAAAAAAAACGTGAAACATAAAACGAAAACTTTATTCGTAGAAACAAGCAGCCAGTTTATATGTGTGTGTGTGCCTTTTCCCTTTCAATTCTCAAGAATTGGAACGCATTGAAGCACAAATAGAAAATCGAACCTGACTAGGAAATCAGCCGGCGAGATGGTGACGGGCGGTGGCACGCGGCTGCTGCGGCGGAGAGACAGAGAGCAATTTTTATCAGTGACCCAAATGTCCACTTTTGTAATTGTGTCCTCACTGCCAAAAAGGGATCTTTAAAGCATTTAACATGCCACGATACCGGTCAAAGAATAAGATTAATTACCATTTTAAATTTGTTAACAATAATGTTTATCCTAATGTATTTTTATATAGTAAATTATATGATTGGGTAAATATTTTTAATCTATTAATGCAAAAATAAGTAAGTAATTTATTATTTTTAACAAATTATTATTAATAATTGTTATATAAATATTATGTAATCTTTGTAAATAATTTGATAGTGTAGATATTTTTTCTTCATAAGTGCATAGAACTTTTAAAATCATTGAAAAATAATGAGGCATTAAATGCAAATTAAATTTTTTATATGTTTTTATTATTTAACTTGAAATAAAGATTTGAATTTGAAATATAATTTGAGTGAGTATGTCAAGTGACGTATTATGATTGAGGAGGTTATGCCAAAGATGAAGAGGGGTAGGGCGACCAGACGAGACAAGATTACGGTGGAATTTTAGCAGAACGCGGGCCGGGCAGGCTTGGAGTGGCTTACTGGTTTGTTTAATGTAATTTTTAGGATGAAGATGATGCCCGAAGAATGGAGACGGAGTTTGATAGTCCCATTGTACAAGAACAAAGGTGATATATAAAACTGTAATAACTATATAAGTATCAAGATAATGAGTCACACCATGAAAGTTTGGGAGAGGGTGGCGAGAGGAGGGTGAGAAGGAGTGTGTTCTGGTACCTACTGGTATGTCAGGATCCAATTGGTCATGAACATCGTAAGCTGTTGCTTTTTTTTTAATTTCGGAGAACCAATTCAGTTTCATACCAGGGCGGTCGACTACATAAGCCATTCATCTCGTAAGGAGATTGATGGAACAATATAGTGAGAGGAAGAAGGACTTGCATATGATGTTTATTGACTTAGAAAAGCCTATAATAAAGTCCCTAGGCAGGTTTTATAGAGATGTTTGGAGATTAGCGGTGTCCCAGTAACGTACATTAGAGTGATTAAGGACATGTACGATAAAGCTAAGACTCGGATGAGGGTTGTGGGAGATGACTCAGACTATTTTCCATTGGAGATAGGGTTACATCAAGGATCAACTATTAGCCCATTTTTATTTGCCCTGGCGATGGATGTGTTGACACGACACATTCAAGGAAAGGTGTCATGGTGTATGTTATTTGCAGATGATATAGTGCTGATTGATGAGACGCATTGTGGGGTTAATTTTAGGCTAGAGGTGTGGAGACAGACCTTGGAGTCTAAAGGTTTCAATTCGAGCAGGACGAACACAGAGTACTTAGAGTATAAGTTTAGTATTGGGGCTCATGAAGCAGAAGTGGACGTGAAGGTGGATACACAACTCATCCCAGAAGGAGTGATAGTTTCAAATATCTTGGGTCTGTGATACAGGGTAATGGGGAGATCGACAAGGATGTCACACACTGTATTGGAGCGGGATGGATAAAATGGAGGCTTGCTTTTGGTGTTTTGTATGACAACTTTCGCACCCCATTTTCTCACGAAGGCGGGTTTCGACGTTGTGACAACTCTTTTAGATGGGAGATAGAGTGCTAAAAGAAGAAGAGTCGCCATCTAATGATTTTTAAGGTGTGTTAGGGCACCTATTATGCAGAACTCTATTTGACTAGTCAACGCCACTAAAGATCGGATAAGGTCTCAAATTAACTCATAGAGAAGGTGTTAGACACTCTTCGAGGTCCACAACTGTGGTTCCTGGCCGAACCTAAGACTATGTGGATTATAATTAGGCACGATGATCAAATAAACAAAGAGAATAAAAAGGTCAATGAGTTTTATTATAACACAATGAGAAATAAATATTACAAGGATATAACTATAACGGTCTATATTAGATGACTAAATGTATAAAGAAGAGGGAAGTTCTAAGTTTTTTAACCTAAAGGATCACCCCTTGCAACATAAATAGTACATCGCAACTCTCTTGAGGTAGGGAGTTACTCATATTGTTCAGCGGACAGACTATCATCTCTTGCTACCCGATTACTATTTTATAGTTGTTTACCTAAAAGCGCTTTAATTCAATTCTAAGTCGTACCCTATGTGTGCACTACCCGTCCCATGCCTATGGTCTAGGAGACATTGGACCTATATTTAGGGTGGTTCTAGACTTTACTTAGGCTGCTCAGAATGATAAAACTAGGCGACATACAAAACAAGTTGGACTTCATGTAAAGGGCACCTAAGAGCTCAAGTTAGCCTCCACACTTAGACAACAAATGCACGCAAATAGATTCTCACATTAGGCATTACACCGTTTTAGAGTTGAGGCAAATTAAAGTTATTAAACCCTATAGATATGATTTAATGTGACCTTGGATTTAAACGTGCAGGTAGTT